CAAGCGGCAGAGACGGAGCAGGCCGACCACCAGCTGGCCCAGCCCAAGGGAGGTAAGGCACCCGCCGGAAAAGGGGAAAAAAATGGCGGACAAAAAAAATGGCAGACAGCCTTGCTTGGCGACCCCCATGAAATGGTCGATCGACCCCAAATGGGGTCCCGACCCACAGGTTGAGAACCACTGTTCTAAAGAAAAGCACAAATTAAGAGACTGTAGTTCTGAGCTGGTTGTGGGAGGGGTTCAGGATAGCCACACCCTAAAATTTCTCAGGATCTATTTATTAGGGTAGAGAATTATAGATTTAGTTTGGCAAGATTCGTCCATTAGGTGTAAGGATTGGACTTGATTAGATTTCGCTGTGTCATCTTTGGACTTGGACCTGACAAATTTCTGAATATTTGAGGGATTTTTCTGAAAGCATTTAATACAGGTAGTTCTTGGTTAATGATGGCTCTGCTTAGCAACTGTTCAAATTTGCAACAGTGCTGAAAAAGTAGCTTTGTTATAGTCTTCAAACTTATGACTGTCCCAGCATTCCTGCTACTGACACATAGAATTTAATTGTTTTGAAGGAATTATTTTTCCTCAGCAACCTCTCTTATATTGCTCCTGGACACCTCTCATTGTATTTCAAGGTGTGCCACAGTGCCTTGAAGTAGCAGATGGGGAAATTTCTACAGATGTCCATAAGTTACATTGAGATTCAAGGCTATGAGTATTTTGTATTGACATGCAAGATAGGTGCAATGATTCTATTAATTATATTATTTCTAAACTTAGTTGTTAGAATGTTATCTTAATTATTGTTTAGAGGCTCTTACAGTCTTATTTAAAATAACAAATTATAGCAATGCGTACAGAAATATAGGAACTCCAACCACTGGAACAAAACAATTTGGAAAATATATACATACATACATATAAGAAAACAATTTTTAAAGTAAGTTATGTAAATTGTAGCTCAAATTTTCAGTGAAGCTCTTATCTTGCAGTGGATTGATTTTTCATGGACTAATTAGGATTGGTAAAGGTAACATTTTAAAATCATCTTATAGATGGTGATTTCAATTTTATTTGGCATTTATAGAGTTAAGATTTGTTACTATACTAGTTTTTATAAGAAGATTTGTCACAAGGTAGCTGACAAATACAGCATGTTACAGTTCTGAGTGCAAATGTCAGTCATTAGGAAGAGAATTATTCTGAAAGTAGAATGCTCCAACTGAGGGTTTTTTCCATTCAGTATTAATGTTCAGCCATTTACTGTACTTACTGAATTTATTCAAAAAGATGGTCTTTCTCTCTGCCCTCTTTCCTTCTGGTAAGGTTAAGGTTGACTTACAAGATGACTTATAAAATGAAAGAGAGAGAGATGCAAATACTGCTGCTTGTGGATGCAAAGAGAAAAGTAATGATAGTAGACTGGCTGAATAAAGCAACAGTCTTGAACATAATTTGTGTGGGACTAAAAGCTCTGTGGACCATGCTATGGACCATGCATGCAGCTCAACTGAAAGCCATTTACCAACATATACCCTTTTTATAACCTGAAGAGAAAAGTACCCCAAGGATTCCCCCCCCCCCATAGTTTCTGTAACATCTTACAATATGTATGCTGAGATAAATAGACATGGCAAGAGCCTATATACACTTTGCTGGTAGTAAGAGTCATTGAGCAATAGTAGGACTTTCTGCAGGATGAACATTTTTGTATCTCGCCCCCTCTACACTTTAACCATATTTATATATTCAAGAGATTAGTCTGTGAGTAAGCAAAATGTTTATCTAGGTATGTATGTGTGTGTGTGTGTGTATGTGTATATAAATTGTACACATTGGGTGCCTTATTTTACAGTGATTTAATTAATTAGGTAAAATTTGTGTGTGTACTATATATGCACGCACTTGGGCATATTTCCAGGACTGGTTTCAGTGGGCACTGGCAATGATAATTGAGAAAGTAAGACTTGCATATTTATAACCCTTTTCTTATGTCTAAATACACTTCTTTTGGGGAAAGGTTATCTTAAATTCAGTGGCATGTTTTCGATAAATATAATGTTTGTGTGTTTAATCATTGCCCAAAAATTTTAGTTGCGATGAATAGAAATATTAATATATAAGAAAAATTCTTCTGATTTTTAATATTCTTTAGTTTTTCATTTAGTCATAGCAAATTTGTGAGAAGCTGACCATATCAATATCATTTGGAATTATATTAATATTTAAATTAATGTAGTAAAATGTTGTATTTATATTACGTATTATTGTTCTGTGCAGATTAATGTAAGGGTTACCACTATGGATGCAGAGCTAGAGTTTGCCATTCAACCGAACACAACAGGGAAACAGCTTTTTGATCAGGTATAAATGTTGAGTTTATGTATGTCTTCATCTTTTATTAACATTTTACATTTTGTATAAATGATAGCATAGTATGTTTTTTGCAAAAATAATCTATTAACATATCTAGGATTGATAGTCTGATTTGTGAAGAATTATAGAATATAGTGTTTACATTCTAAAAAAATAAAATAAAATAAAAAATAAATTTAAAAAATCCATACAACTGTGATGAGATATAAGCAATATTTTTAAACTTCTCCTTCTCATAGGGGAAAAAGATAGCACTGGTGGAAAGTTAAGTTGTTTAGATAGTCCTATTTAGCATTAGAATTCTATTGCAAAACATGATGACAAAGATAGAAACATTTAATCTGTAGTTTTACTTGTATTCATTTAAAAAAGGGCTACATCCACTATAATTGTGTAACGTTCCCCATAAAAAAGGAAGCTGTCCAAAGAATAACTTCATTCTGATTCATATTCTGGGAAGTTTATCAGAATAGTTATGCCAGAAATAGAAGCAATATGCCTAGAATGTTAAAGGCTCAGAAATAATAGCAAGAGAAAGATTCTATTCTTGTGTTTTTGTGGGTTATTTGTAGATGTGTGATTTGTCACTTTGGGAAGCATGAACTGATTTTTGATTTGCTCCATAGAAATGTGCTAGGTGTATGTGGGAGTGTGTGTGTGTGAGAAAGATTAGCATCTATTTCAATTAAATCAGCTTACCAGTGACCACATGCACAAAATTAGCCTGTAGCACATTATATAAACCTCTGTTTTAGCTGCTAAGAGGACACACTTAAATTCTGATAACCCAATAAAATAGTTGTCCTATTTCATAAAATTATGTCATATGAGGATTTTCTATAGCAAATATGATGTGTATTTAAACAAAGTCATGAATGATGTTATTTAATGAAAATGGCTTGCCATTTTTTTCAGTAACAACTGCATTGCACTGTGATTCCCTGGCCATCTTTATTTCAGTAGTCTCTTCTTTTTAATTGTAGTTTAAAATGTTTCAAAGTTCTCTCTTGATAGGCTGATACAGATTGCTGTTTTTCATCAGGAAATATTTATTTATTGCATTTGCATATCACTAAATGAAGGAAGGACTTCTAATAGTTAATGGCAGCAGTAAAACATCCATGGCAAGATCATTTTTTAATATTGATATTTTCTTTTTTAGGTAGTAAAAACAGTTGGCCTACGAGAAGTCTGGTTTTTTGGATTGCAGTACGTGGACAGCAAAGGGTACTCAACTTGGTTGAAATTAAACAAAAAGGTAATTTTTTTACTTAAAAGTTTAAAATAAGTTTTATATGTTTGATGTAGCAAAAGTATCATTGGTAGAATAGATACATTCTGAAGATTGGGTTGTAAGTCAAGCCGATGCTGATACTAGATGGGTGCCTAATGAATGAAGAAAATAGTAAACTGTAAAATATATTTCTAGAATATGTGTGAATCCATTTCTAAGATTCTTATTTTCTATTTCATGTCAATCTAGTTTTATAGAAAATAAATTTGAACCATATCTAAGTGGTATGGCATATTCAGTTCTTTGATATCATGTAATATGGAATGTCACTGAAAGCAAATCATAAAACAGGTATATTCCTCCTGTTAGATTTTTTTTTTAATTCTTTCCCCCACTCCCAACTAATCATGGCAGGATTTGGATGCTTTTGGTTAATATATACTGATAAATACTCAGCATCTAAGGAGAGCTAAACTTTCAATAAGTATGAATAAGTAGAGATGTTGGGCTCATCTCTGTGTTAGAACATAAAGATAATTATTTTTATTTGTATATAAGGCAAGCATTCCAACTAACTAAACTTATTAGCTTTCATATTTCTTTGTGGGATGAGGCACTGAGAGAGGGGCAAGAGAAGATTATTATACTTGCATCCCATGGATCATAAATCATTCCTCCTAGTAGTAAAGAAAGCTGATAAGCGCTGATCAGATTGTGGCACAATGAGTCTACTGAGAAACAAGAGGATTGTATTGATATGCTCCAGGAAACTAAAAATAAAAGCTATAAAAAGTATGTAAGGGGAAAAAAAGTAAGTATCTACTACTAAATTGAGAACATGATTGTCTGGATTAGAAAAACGAAAACATAATTAGATGTTTAAATTAGCAGTTTGCTGCAGTTGCCAAACAAGCCAACACAGTTCTAGGCTGCATTCTTGCAGGATAGGATCAAGATCACGTAAAATGTTAATGCCACTTTACAATGCCTTGGTAAGGCCACACTTGGAATACTGCATCCAGGTACCACAATGTAAAAAAGATGTTGAGACTCTAGAAAGAGTGCAGAGAAGAGCAACAAAGATGATCAGGGGACTGCAGGGTAAAACATATAAGGAACGGTTGCGGAAATTGGGTATGTCTAGTTTAATGAAGAGAAGGACGAGGAGGGACATGATAGCAGTGTTGTAATATCTCAGGGGCTGCCACAAAGAAGAGGGAATGAAGCTATTCTCTAAAGCACCAGAAGGCAAGACAAGAAGCAACGGATGGAAACTAATCAAGGAGAGAAGCAACCTAGAACTAAGGAGAAATTTCCTGACAGTTAGAACAATTATTCAGTGGAACAACTTGCCTCCAGAAGTTGTGAATGCTCCAACACTGGAGCATTTTAAAGAAGAGATTGGATAACCATTTGTCTGAATAAGGTATAGGATATAGGGTTTCATGTCTGAGCAGGGGGTTGGACTAGAAGACCTCCAAGGTCCCTTCCAACTCTTGTTATTCTGTTTTGTTCTATTCTAATTAGAGATGGAACATTTTCTAGAACACTGAACAAGAAAATAATATGCTGTAACATTTTTCTGCCAGCGTTACTTACTCTTCCTAATGTAGTCTTAATTGGGTAATATTAACTACAGGTAGTTCTCAACTTATGACCACAGTTGAGCCCAAAATTTCTGTTGCTAAGTGAGACAGTTAAGTGAGTTCTGCCCCATTTTACGACCTTTCTTGCCCCAGTTGTTAAGTGATTCACTTCAGTTATTAAGTTAGTAATATGATTGTTAAGTGAATCTGGTTTCCTCATTGACTTTGTTTGTCAGAAAGTCACAAAAAATGATCACATGATCCTGGGACACTGCAACCATCATAAATGTAAGCCAGTTGCTAAGCATCCTAATTTTTATCACATGATCATGGGGATGCTGCAGCAGTCGTAAGTGTGAAAAATGGTCATAAGTCACTTTCTTCAGTGTTGTCACTAAACAAATGATTGTAAGTTGAGAACTACCTGTATAAATATTTCTTGTTCCTCAATATTTTACTTTAGCGGCTTTTTAATCTTTTTGTTGCAGTTCTTGCTAAAATTCTCAGTGCTATATAACATATCAATTAAGTTCATTTTCATGAAATTTGATGTGCATAATGCTTTTTAAGGACGGTGCAGTGACTTAGTGGTTAAGACGCTGGGCTTGTCAAGTTGGAAAACTGACAGCCTGGGCTCGAAACCCAAGTGTCACGTGACGGAGTGAGCTCCTGTTATTCACCCCAGCTCCTGCCAACCCAGCAGTTTGAAAGCATGCTAATGCAAGTAGATAAATAGGTACCACTTTGGTTGGAAGAAAACAGTGTTCTGTATTTTCATGCCGGCCACATGATGACAGAAGCCTCTCTCAGACAATGCAGGCTCCTTCTGCTAAGAATTGGAGATGAGCACTACCCCCTTGAGTCAATCAGAACTGGACAGAGGAAACATTTAAACTTTTAATGCTTATTAATCATTAAGAGATACATTCAAAATATAGTTTCCATTGGTTGACCTGGAAAAATATAGCTATATCTCCAGTGGTTAACGCAAGATCGATTTAGTGAAATCGAATGTATTGCCAATGTGCACTATATATAAATAGGCTTTCATAGTTGAGTTTTTAAAATAAATGTTGGAGAATTCCATCCCTTATTGTGGTCTTGAATTATGTTTTTGAAATATACATTCTGAAAGCTCTCACGCTTCCCTAATTATTTAAGTATCTGTGAAAATCACGTCCTTCAGTGCTGTATTTTTTATATTGCATTGCAAAATATGATAAGTAGTTATAATTACTTTTTCCAATATGTTAAAGTTCTCTTCATCCTTTGAAATTTTATATTACAATATATATTTATATTTTATAATTTATATATTTCATTTTAGGTAACACAGCAGGATGTAAGGAAAGAAAATCCATTTCAGTTCAAATTCAGGGCAAAGTTTTTTCCTGAGGATGTTTCTGAAGAATTGATTCAAGAAATAACTCAGAGACTCTTTTTTCTGCAAATCAAAGAAGCCATCTTGAATGATGAAATCTATTGTCCACCTGAAACTGCAGTTCTACTGGCTTCTTATGCTGTTCAAGCAAAATATGCTGATTACAATAAGGAAATACATAAGCTAGGATATTTGGCCAATGACAGACTTTTACCTCAGCGGTAAGAAATTTCTGGGTATATCAAAATTTAATTGGATTTAGAGTTTGATAATGTTGCCTAAGTAATATAACTATGAACAATGTAGTACATAATATGATATGAATTTGTGATTAAGCCGGTATTATTAAATATGTATCTTTTCAAAATTAAAGTAAAATGGCTGCATGTATAATATATTGCTTGGAAATAATTAGAAGCTGAATATGGAAAAGCAAGGACATCAGCCTTGCAACCAAATGTAGGTTAGTTTGCTCTATTGTGTTCCTCGTAGCTACCTATGTTTGTGAAAGTTTGACTTTAAAAAAAGCAAATCAGGAAGAAAATTAACTCATTTGAGCTGTGGTGTTGGAGAAGGCGCCTGAGTATTCCTTGGACAGCAAAGATGACTAACAAGAATGTATAATACCAGACATGCTACTAGAAGGCAAAATCACGAAACCACGTCTCACTTATTTTGGCCATGTCATGCGGGAGAATTCACTGAAGAAAGCAATTATGTTAGGAAGAGTTAGCGGTAAAAGGAAACCAGGCCACCAAAGAAAACAGTGGCTAGACATCATTAAAGCTGACATCAGCCAGAGCAAAGAAATAATACAAGATCAGAAGATGTGGAGAGACCTGATCCATATAATTGACAAGAGTTGGACATGACTAAATGGATAACATCAGATAATTATTAAATGTGCATTCCATCCTAGAAAAGTGGTAGCGGGGGAGGGGAATGAGCTGAACCGGTGGCAGCACCGCACAAGCCTGAGCGAGAGATGGCTGGAGCTGCAGGGCTGTCAGGGCTCAGTGGAAGTGCCAGGATCAGCGCCAGGCTCCAGCTGGAGCTCAGCGCTGATCCTGGTGCTTCTGCTGAGCCCAGAAGAAGCGCCGATCAGCTGGAATGTTGCAGCATCTCCAGGGTCTTGTGATTTACATTCAGATGCTTGGCAACTGATTCATACTTACGATGGTCACAGTGTCCCAGGGTCATGTGAAGTGACCAAAACCTGCTGCAACCACCCAGCAGATGGGGGGAATAAAAACCAAACACCCCCCACCCCACCCCCGCTGCTAATCCTCAACAGAAATGCTCACAACAATGAAAACTTCGGACAGGAGGAAGAGCGCCGCTGGGTGGGCAGGCAGGTGTCTTGCTCGGCTGTGGCTTGGGGGGCACTTTTTCAGTGCCATTGTAACTTCGAACAGTCACTAAGTGACCTATTGTAAGTCGAGGACTACCTGTACTTCATCACTTTTTTTTCCTTTTTGGGGGGGTCATCAAGTTTTTGACACCTTGCTAGGCAACAGGTGGTACTCGGATATTGCCATATCCTAAAAGTGGTACAATGGGTGAAAAGGTTGAAAAGCCCTGTTCTACATCAGTGGTGGCGAACCTATGGCACACGTGCCAGAGGCGGCACTCAGAGCCTTCTCTGTGGGCACGTGTGCCATTGCCCCAGCAGAGTTTGCCAGAGTAGCGAGCACATGACATTTGGAAGTGACAGGGCAGGAAGTGAGTGAGCAAGCGGCGTTGGCCCCCCGGGGATGCCCTGGATATGGCGAGGGACTGGCCCCCGCCACCCTGGCCCCGGACATGCTCACCCAATCTGCCGTGACCACTGCAGCCACGCCCACCGAGTGGGCCACGCCTCACGCCACCCCTGAGAGCACCACAATGCTAATGCAGCCCTGGCACTTTGCGATAAATAAGTGGGTTTTGGGTTGCAGTTTGGGCACTCCGTCTCTAAAAGGTTCACCATCACTGTTTATATCTCTTGCTATTGGATATAGCAGAGAAGTCCAAACAATTAGAATAGTAGGGAGACTGTTTGCTGTCTTCCCTATCCTTTTCCAAACAGGCAAGTTTCTTTGTGAGAGGAGCAGCCTTATAAATACTTGAAATAAAAATAAATTTTATTTTGATAGTGTTTTGGAACAACATAAACTGACAAAAGAGCAGTGGGAAGAAAGAATACAAAATTGGCATGAAGAACACAGAGGGATGTTAAGGTAATTTCCATATTACCTTTTTATAACTTTTGGAAATTAATTTCCTTTGGTTTAATAGTAATTTTTCTCCTACAAAATCTCTGTTACTTTTGAGTGTGTAAGTGAAATAGATTATCCAGAGAGCTATTTTAATTTACTTCAGTACACAAAATTTAATTTTCAATAAGTGTTCCTGTTTATATTAAGTCAGCATGTTCTTATGTTTTCAATCTAGCAATAATTAACCATGACCATATCATCTTTGGGACTGGTCCTGACTGAAATAAGTAGAACTTATTTCCTACTAGAGTTAGATGGAATTTGGTAAATACAATAGTTAAGTTTTTTTTCATCTATTAAGAATAAAAGATCATAGTTGAAACTAATGTTTGCAGGCTAGGCCTATGATTATTATGCATTTTATATGGTTTTAAATTATGTTATTTTTATTGTCAGGGAAGACTCTATGATGGAATACCTCAAAATTGCACAAGATTTGGAAATGTATGGAGTCAACTATTTTGAAATTAAAAACAAAAAAGGAACTGAGTTATGGCTTGGTGTTGACGCTTTGGGTTTGAATATTTATGAACATGATGACAAGTAAGTAGCACAATACTATTCTGTTGATCCTGTAGTACAGCTTCAAGTATTACATTTTCAATAACTTTCTAATACATATTTAAAATATGGCCCTTGAGAATACTGTAGTAGAGACGGTACTTCTAACAGAAGTAGATTTCTTTGTATTACAGAAGGCAGGATGGAGCAGAGAAATCTAATGAAAAATCCTTTTGTTTTAACAGATGCAGATGATTTTTGTCTCTGTCTTTTCATGCTTAGCCTTATGTCTATTTCTGTGTTTTTCCCCATAACTAAGATTCTTTCCTTCTTTCCTAAAGGTTGACTCCGAAGATAGGTTTTCCTTGGAGTGAGATAAGAAATATATCATTTAATGACAAAAAGTTTGTGATAAAGCCCATTGACAAAAAGGCCCCTGTAAGTAAATATGCTTGAGATATAATCAGCACATCTGTTGTTTTTTTCCTTCTGTTTCTTAGCTCTCCAAATAATGTCTTTTGTGACTTACAAAAATTATTTTGCTGTATTCATGATTTGTTTTTCAGTTATGGTTTGGCTTATTTATGCTGCCAATGTTCTTTTTTAGTTATGTTGGAATTCTATGTTGTTACCTTTTATTTCCGTCTGAATTAGAGTTTGTAATCGCAGAGTAATGCGTTAGAATGGTAAATACTCAAAGCTATTGTGGGCTAGTAGAATAATGATAATAATTGATGAGAAAGACAAAAGAAATTTGGATAGTGGACGTTTAAATATTGGAGACAGCAGAATAGAAGAAAAAGAATTCAAGAAAAAATCACAAAATATAAAGACATGTAAACAGAAGTAGAACAACAATAAAAAAGCAAAGATTGTACCAATATTAACAGGTCTCATGGGTGTAATTCCTTGAACACCATCAGCATTGACAGAATCACCATCAGTTAATTGCAAAGGGCAGTACTTGGAATAGTTTACATCCTGCAACAATACCTTTAATATTATTAAACAACATCTGCCTAAACAACAACATCTGATTTAGCTTGTTCCACACACTCACAAGGGACATAAAATCAGAGCTTTTCCATTATGGCCCATATGTTGTGAAATAGCCTACAAAGAGATTTAACAAATCTTGGCAAGTTTTAGGAAGGCCTTGAAGATAAGACTCTTGCATAGAATATTCAAAGCCTTTTTTTTAAAAAAATGAATGTTTGGCTGGCATAGTAACTTTTCCCCCCTGCTTTACTTTTTTTTTGTGCGCATTGATTTTCTTGTAAATCAGAGTTAATCAGTTGAGGCCTCAAATATTAATACTAATATTAAGGGTGCAAACCTCAGGCCATAATAAACATAATAAACATAAGCCCCAGTATATAAATTAGCTCAGTCAGTTAATATGGTGTTGGGAGTATAAAAATAACTTCAAAATATGTATGAAACATCTGGTGCTCTTGGGCAGCTTTCCTAATCTGATTACCTCCAGATATGATTGCAGTCAAATCTAATAATTACTAGTTAAGATATTTCTATTATTTGCATGTGTGTAATCAAAATTATGGCTTACTCTGGTTTTAATTTGGTTTTCTGCTTAAAAAGGAGCAGGAAAAAACATACTTGTATATCAGCAGCTTGCTGTTGATTTATGAAATCAACATTTGTGGGAAAAGTTCTGGGTGTCTGATAATGGTCAAACACTCAATTGTGTATGGGCGCATTGAATTTGTCGTTTCTTGCCTATGTTAACTAAAAGTCCCACCACCTTATTTTTTTTATCATTCTTCTGTTGTGACTTTTTGTAACATTTTTTCTAAAATGTAATTAACTAGACCCCCAATTAATGATTTAAAATTTAACTACGGTATAGATCACTTCATATTTTATTCTCAATAATAAACTTTTTCATTGCTCCAGCTTATTGTTTGACAGTTTTAACCGATGACCAATATCTATGTGTGTTATTATATTTTCTTTTTCTTTAAGTGCAAGTTGAATTTTCTCCACCATTTTGTTACATAATCGTTCCAGTTCTTTTTGAAACACTTTTCACTCATAATTTACTAAGTTGATGTAAATGTGTTTGTGTTTCTGAGTAACAGCACTCTAATTCTAGATCACTGATATAGCTTTGACTAGTCCTGCTAGAGAGTAATTAGTGAAAGAAAACTATTTTTATTAATAAACAGTTATGTTTCTCAACATACATGACATTTTGTTTACTTAAATATTTTTCATTAGGATTTTGTGTTTTATGCACCCCGTCTGAGAATTAATAAGCGGATATTGGCACTATGCATGGGAAACCATGAGCTATACATGAGAAGGAGAAAACCAGATACAATTGAAGTGCAACAGATGAAGGCCCAAGCTAGAGAAGAAAAACATCAAAAACAATTGGAGAGGTGGGATATTTGCAATTAGTCATGGAGGTTGAGATTCTTGTAGCAAATTAGTTTGAAAATTAATTTCATGTCCTATCTTCAGAAGAATTCCTTGAAGAAAAGTATAACCACATGGGGAAACAGAATTATCTGAAAACAATGGGGGACAATACTTATTAAATAGAGTGTATTAATTTAGTGTCTTGGATCTCTTATGCATAGTTTGTAACATTTTAAGCAATGTTATCTGACTGGGTACAGTGCTGAGTGATACTTAGTCCTCCAGGCAGCAGTGTTTATAGTGCTACAGTTTACACTGTGTTAATGGCCCTAAAAACATGGTTCTCCAACATTGTGGCCCAATTCCAAGAAAGTACAGTGGGAACAGTTTGCTTATTTTAATTAGACTCTACTGGAAGCCTGATACTTTTGGGAAAAACAAAGTACTTGTACTGACCTGTTTACTGTATGTTCTCTTAGATAACATCAGATTGTTATGTACTAGATAGGCTGAATCTTAATATATATTGTTTTGATATTAATGGGAGTTCCAGTAAGTGTCACTTTCATATTAGCGTTAGCTACTACCATAAGTTGCCAGATTGAGCAATTACAATGAAAAACTTCTGTTTTCCCATGGAAGATCAGTTATTGTTTTATTATACAGCAACGGTACTATACAGTACAGTAATATTCTAGTCCATGTTCATAATTTGAAGTTTCTTGTGCAGCATGCTAGAATCATGAGTTGCATAGTAAATTCTTATTCAGTGTAAGGAAGTAAAATATTATCTGCTTACTGTATTATGGTGATTATCAGCTAAATGTTTGGCTGTTACTGTTTGGTTGCATTTGGTAGCTGGCTGAAATGTTTGGGAGTTGGACCTTTTTTTTTGAAAACAGCATAGGCCTGCCTGGTATCATCCAGATATTATGGGACCACAGGTCTGTGAATTCTTAGCCAGTATGGTCGAAGGGCATGGTTACTAATTATTGTGAGATATATCAGTCAAATATTGTACATCTTAAATGCAACAACATGAGCACTTGTAAAACCTGCTTTTTTGCAGTAAGGTATTTTTTACCAGTAGATCACTTAGCATATTGTTGGGATAAATTTTTTGTGTTTGGGTAAATGGATTTATTCATGGGGGGATGAATACTGTTTGTTCACATGCTTTATTTTTACCTATCTCATTTTATATAGGGCCCAACTAGAGAATGAAAAAAAGAAAAGGGAAATAGCTGAAAAAGAAAAGGAAAGAATAGAGCGTGAAAAAGATGAATTGATAGAACGACTAAGACAGATCGAAGAACAGACAATGAAGGCCCAAAAAGGTGAAGTCCTTTTATGTATTAATGACAGGACATTATGTTATGATTTGAAAAGCTGTTGTAAGTCTTCTAAAAACATGTATTATTCAAGTGAAGAAAAAATTAGCCAATATTATAACAATATTTATTCTACTTTCTTATAATGTGCCATTTTTACCTATTTTAATGGCTTGCCTGAAGACACCAGAAAGCAACAATTCCCCTAACTGCTGCTTGGGAACGGATAGTGTGCAGTGAGAAATAAACAGCATAATTAGTGGCGCTTGGCAACTCAGCGTACCCACCCACAGAAAATGCAAACCATACTTTGTAACTTATTGGCAAATTGTGGGTTTGTTCTAACCAGTTGGGAAATCAGTCCAAAGTACATATTTTGCATAAATCAAACTGGAATGCTTGGAATAATCATTAAGAGTTAAATATCTAATAATTTTCCCCAGATGGGAAATTCCCTGTTCTTAAAATCTTGCCAAGGAATTTTAAATTTTTTTTTCATTTGCAAGTGTGACCTGAGGACTTTAAAATTAGATGAAATTGCCCAAGTATTTAAAATTCATTGAAGGCATATCAAATCAGATAGCTTGTTCATGTAGACCAGGATTGTCCACTTTTGCTTGGCATTCCAGAATCTTGGGCAAATCAGTTTCCCATTACTTAATACAGTGTATATTGTTGTTAACTGAAGGTACAAGATGTTGTGCCTAAATTCTGCCTGTATGAACAGCATAAGCATTACAATAGAGCAGTGGTTCTCAGCCTGTAATCCGCAGACTCCTGAGGGACTGTGATATCAGTGGGTCCACGAAGATTTGAAGAAATGTTATGATTTAAATCTTGAGTTAAGTCATGCTGCTCCCTGGCCACAAAAGGTATTTAAAGGGGGCTCCGTAGTGAAGAATAGATTGGTAAAGTGTTTTTCACTTTCTGTAATACTGGGAGCTTTTGCCTTTCCAGTAGAATATTCAGATACTTAGTGGACTTTGGTGCAAATGGTTTGCAATCTAGGTAGTGAGATAGCCTTTCTTCAAGTTCTGAAATTCTATTTAAAAACAAGCTTATTCATTTCAGAAAAAGCAAGTTCATTGGGTAAAGTTGAGAAAACATTGGAATTGGTTCTTTGAATGTAAAACTGACTGGACTTATAGTGGAAACCAATTCTGCCTGATGAGTTTATGCCATCTTAAACAACTTAATTTTCTTGGTTAAAACTAGAGCAGACATGTCAAACACAAGGCCCGGGGGCCAGATGCGGCCCGCGAAGTGGTTTCATGTGACCCACGAAGCCATCCTGGAAACAGTGAGGGAACGGCCCCCATTGCCGGCCGGGAGCCAATGTACAATTTTGTGATGGCCATCTATGCTGAAACGCATTCAGTCTTAGCTCCACAAGGCTGTCTGGAAACAGCGAGGAACCAGCCCCTGCCATGTTGACCCCGTCCCCTGGGTGCATGCTGGGGAGGTGTCACCCTTTGTGAGGAATGAAGAAATGCACCATCACCTGGAAGTGGCCAGCAAATGGCCCTCACCTACTTCACATATCCGGCTTGATGGGCTCTGGCGGAGGGGTTTCAGCAGGCAGTGAGGCTCCTCCAGTGGACCATGCCTTGGCACTTGCCCCGGTCCCACCCCCTTCTGCCAGAGACCCTCAGATCTGTCCCACTCCTGCCCAGGCCCCCACCGGCACCCTTGACGCGAATGATGTAGAGCTGGCCATGCCCACCCAATAGGCCACACCCACTCCGTCCATACCCACCCAGTAGGCCCCACCCTGGCCACATCCACCTGCCCCCCCGAGGGCAACTGCAATGCTGATGCGGCCCTCAATGAAATTGAGTTTGACACCCCTGAACTAGAGGCAAGGGCAGCAGTAATTTTTGTAGGCATTGTTTAATTCTGTATTGCTAATCTGGACTGCTAAAACTTGATTTTTATTTCTTTGATATAATGAATATACAGAACTGGAAGAGCAAACAAGAAGAGCTCTAGAGCTAGATCAGGAACGAAAAAAATCAAAAGAGGAAGCAGAGCGCTTGGAAAAAGAACGAAGAGCTGCTGAAGAGGCAAAAGCTGCTCTAGCCAAGCAGGCAGCAGATCAGATGAAGAATCAGGAACAACTAGTAAGACCTCATTCAAAGCTGTGGTAGATTGGGTTAGAATGTGTTGTTGTCATAAAAATGTTAAAATGGGAGAGGGAAGAGCACCTTGGGGAATCTAGGGTGGACAGGCATAGCCAAAAAACGTTATAGGAAAAGACGCCCCAATGTGCAGTATTGTTGGTGTGTTCCAGCCCTTTGAGCTCACTCCCAGCCCTTGGACAGCATATCCTCAGAGGCCCTGGGGTTCAGCTGCTGCTGGTGAATGGCAAGTTGGTCAGTAATAAGGCTCCCTTTATTCCAGACCTCATTTAGGAGGAGGGATAAATTCCATAATTTAGCTAATTAGTTGACTGACTAATCGTATGAGGAGAATAAATTGCTGTTTTATGTTATACCAGTATATCAGTGGAATGCTTTTTCCAAGACGGCTTTCTGACTCCTCTTTTTTTTTTAAGTCAAACATTCTAACAGCCTTGTACTGTAATATTTTAATTTTTATGATACCTCTATTTGAAACATCTGATTCCCATTTAAATTGGCTAATTTTAATAAAATGTGGCAATTTTTAAATTGGGATTGTTTTGCTTTGTTTGAAGCATAATTGGGATTATGTCTCCAATGAGAAAAGGTCTCATTCTTTCTAGAAAACGTATATAAAGATTGCATGGCAAACACTTTATGATTCAGTGCAAGACAAATTCCTTTTTAATTATCTTGGACCTTTTACTTCACTTTTTATGCTATATACATTTGTGTTTTAGAAAATACAATTATATGAATTATTTCTTTCAGTATGTGTTCATATAGTGGCCCTCGGTATTTTAAACTATTTTTAAGGATGTTCTTAGTCTTTACAGGATTTTTGATGGATTTTATTGTGTTACTTTGAACATAGTCTTGTCACTTAGAATAAAGTTGAATAAATAAATTGAAGTTCACAAGTTGAATAATAAAATTATGCCAAAATTATGAATATTTTTGTATTTTAGATGATTTTATGAAGTTGTTCAGAAAATAAACTCTTCTTGCTTTATAGGCAGCAGAACTTGCTGAATTTACTGCAAAGATTGCACTTTTGGAAGAAGCCAAGAAAAAAAAGGAAGAAGAAGCTTCAGAATGGCAACATAAAGTAATTCTTTTGTAAACTATTGCTAGAATTTTTGATAATAAAAGATTATAAACTCTATGTTGGAATCCCCAAATTTTTAACACTATTTGTCAAATTTGGTCTGCTGAAAAATATATTTTTAAGTCTTTTGGAGCCTTATTTTCTATTAATACTATTCCATCCTCACCAGAAGAACAACAGCCATGTTTATATTTGCCCATTTTCTTTTACTTGGGTAGAACAAATATGATTTGATACAGTATGTAGGTCTGTCTATCATCCATCCCCAAATTTTAATTCGGCTTCTGTGAAGTCCCATTTTATGTCAGTATCTTGATTTTCAGCTGTAGGCCACAAAAGCTATTTAGAATCTTCAAAAAATATTTTTGCAGTGTTTGTAAATATATAAAATATTAGTCAGATTTCTTTTTGCTGACAGAGTTAAAGAATTAAGTGGGAGACTAGTATAGCTATTTCAGGCTCATTAGCTATACTAGTCTCCCACTTAATTCTTTAACTCTTTGTCAGCAAAAAGAAATCTGAATTTGTAATGTATCGCAGTAGCGACTTGAGCCTGCTTAACGCCCCTAGTTGGGGGGCTGCAAGGCAAAAGTGATTATAAAAAAGTAGAACTGCAGTATAGCAGTCAAAATGCCAAGGTGCAATCAATCAGACCGGTCTGTCTGAAAAACTTTCTATAAAATATTATATATATGTAAATACTTAAATTGGCACAATCCAATTCTCTCCAACCTAATTAAAAATGTTTTCACTGCCTCTGGGTTATGAGTATTAAAGTTATTTTTATTGCAACTTTTTAGGCTTTTGCAGCTCAAGAAGATCTGGAAAAGACCAAAGAAGAACTGAAAACTGTAATGTCAGCTCCGCCCCCCCCTCCACCCCCACCCCCACCAGTAATTCCTCCCACAGATAATGAACATGATGAACAAGATGAGAATAATGCTGAAGCAAGTGCTGAACTGGCTTCTGAAGGTATTATGAACCATAGAAGTGAGGAAGAACGTATCACAGAAACCCAGAAGAATGAACGAGTAAAGAAACAACTTCAGGTAAACAAGGCTGTTGGAAACCTGTCATATCAGCTGAAAACCAAGGACTTTTTAAGGGTTGAGTTTAACTTAGTAGCAGGAATCTTTTCTTTACATTGTTACCTTCTGGATATCTCCCCCTTAGAATTTAAAACCTAATGGGGCATGAAATGTTCTTGGTCAACATGGGACACAAAGATGTGTTGATTTCAGCTCCCATACTCAGCAGCCAAGCAGCAACATCTAGAATGATACCAGGCTGTTGAAGTCCCCCAATTCTTCTACTCCCCACAAACACTGAAAATTAGATTATAGTTTTATTGATGCTGTTGAAATAGCTTATTGTGCTAAGCTTCCTTTCAATAATAGATGTAGTAGAGGTAAAGGAAGTGTTTGATTTTAAAAAAACATTAAAACCAGTAAAGTAGGATTCCTGACAATATTGTGCTAGGATAAGCATTCTGAACTACAAACATTTACATGATGTACTGAGAAGTGGATCATTTAAATGGGAAAATAAATTATTTTAATGCAGTTCAACAGGTAAAGTAAGAATAAATAAAATGCCCCTGCTTTCTAGCATGTATGTATTTTAATGGTTTAAACAGTGGATTTGGCAAGTTCCTGACATGTACACAACTAATTTCATTTATATCCCTCTTTTAAACATATCATTTCTCCTTCCCCTAGCTATATGAAGGAGTAATTGTATACTGTATATAAGTTTTGGACAATTATTCGAAAATAGTAACAGTTTAAAACAACTCTGGAACAAATAAGGATATTATTAAAGCAAACATTGAAGCACAATGCCAACTATTTTCAAACAGTCTTATCTGACTAAATGTATAAATAAGGCATACATTTTTAAATTACTGGTAACAAAATATGTTGTCGTTTGTCTCTAAGACTACGTGTCTACTTGTAGCTTTCCATATAATGACATGCCCTTGTTTTTTCTACAGACTTTGTTTAATTAGAAGACTAAAATAAGTCAGTCTTGTATAACTGTATAAATTTGATGGGTAGAAATGTTATGGCAATATCTAACCCCTCAATACTTGTATTGAATAGGCTCTCAGTTCTGAATTGGCCCAAGCCAGAGATGAAACTAAGAAAACCCAGAATGATGTACTTCATGCTGAAAATGTTAAAGCAGGCCGTGATAAATACAAGACTCTTCGACAGATACGGCAAGGCAATACAAAGCAGCGGATTGATGAGTTTGAAGCAATGTGAGAGCCATTTCTTTGCATGTCTGTTCTCCATTAAAGTTGAACCACCAGCAGAGAAATATAGGCCTTTCCACAGATGAAAGGATCACACCTCACCTTGCCAAAGCACTTATACCAGTTTGTGATTAAAACATATTTCCCAAAAAAATATTGTTCAACAATAAGGCAGTCGATCAGCTATGACTCTCTGGAGGTGAATGAGAAGGTTTCCATGATTTTATATTTTCATGCTTTGTCCTTTGAAGTAACAGCAATCATATGGTAGCAAAGCTGTTAATTCAAATATTAATAATTTACCTTACAACTGACTTCAGTTTTGGCATTTGTGCACTTTTGCTTGTTTGTTTTCATTTAGCAAATTGGTGAGGATTTTGATATTGCTAATTTTTAAGGGCTTCCCTTTGTAGGTTAGAATTCTTTGGTGTTTCATGTCCTGTCATCATTGATGGTTTTATTTGCCTGCCTGTTCACAAAGGTCTAGATGGTAGGTGGCTGTTCCAGCACTTTTTTCATTCATATATATGTTACACACAAACACATATATATATGTATGTATGTGTGTGGGGGGAAACCTGGACCTTTCTGATAAGGAAGCATATGAAAACATCAGTCCCAAGAAGGGGACAGAAGCCTACCTCACTGTAATAAACATGATGATTGGTCCGTGAAACACCACATTGACATGCTAACAGTGTGAAACTATGTCCTGCATAGCTAAACACTACAAGAATCTAGGAGCCTTTATTCTTTAATATTTTGTTAATAGATTTATAGTATTCAAGGAGTGTTCAGCTGCCTTTTTGACAAGTTAAATTTTGAATCATGTATTTTTTAATTTTAACCTGTCACTGGTATATTATCCAATAAGAGGTGTGAAATGTTTGGTTATGTTTTCTGAATACCTTTGTACTAAATTAACATTGTTGCAAAAACATTTAATGAAGTCAGTGCATAAAACAATGCTCTCTTGCACTCAGTTGTAGGGCCCACTTGCACATTCTTCCTGTTCCTTCCATGTTAATTCTGAGAATATCTATGCTTTGTGTTTTCAGAGAATGTAGTCATAGGAATTGTGGCAGAATGTGGGCAAATTAGGTATGAGCAGATCTTTAGGCTGAAGTTCAACATGCACTCAAAGATTATTGAATGTGTATGTTGGAATCAATATGAATCACTCTTACCTATGGAATGGCTAATTAAAATTGGCATCTTGGGTTTGAATATCATATTTGTGGAAATAACACTGAAATTGCTTACCATGTCCAGTGAACTTTAAGAGTTGGGAGAAAGAAGTCCTGCTTTCTCTGAGGATGGTTCAGCTCTGTTATGTTTGGTATTATGCACTCAACTTTATACTTACCTATGAAAATTGCCATTTTATTAATCATTCATGTACAAGTTCCTTAGAAATCCCACTGAAAGTTAGGGGGTTCCTCCCCCCCGAATCAAAAGGTAGATACTGTGAAAGTTACATATACACCCATTATTTTATGGAATAATGATAGCTGAGCAATTTTGCATAGACTGGTGTGCAAATATTGTGCATGTGCTCAAACGTCTGGTTGCCCTGGATGCTTCTGCTTCCACCTGCAGGATTGGGCAAATGCCTTGCATCTTTTCATGCAGTGAATTCTGAGATATGGATTTCTAAAGTGTTCAAAACCTTTGCCATAACAGGTGGAATGTTGTGTATGGTTCTTCCCCGAAATAGGTACACATGCATTGCCATGTTAATCTATTACTATGGAAGAAAGGGAAAGAGAAGTACCAGTAAAATTTGCTGTTCATAATCTACAGTGTATAGTTTAATATTTAAATGGATCTAATCCATTTATAAAACTGTGAATATTTTTCTAGGAATTGACATCTGTAATAAGGTTTTTCACCATGACTAAATTGATGGTAATGGGTTGTCACCTGCTATTGGGGGAACACACCAATTCATGTTGAGGCATTCAGGAAATACTTGGTGAAGATATTTTCGTATGCTTCCCCTCCTCCTCTCTTTAGCATCATGTTTTGTGTTGTAAAATTAAGCTATAGTTACTATCATCTATTATTTTGAATAACATTCATTGGCTAACAATAAAGAGAATACAGCTAATTTTGTGAGGTTCATTGTGGTTATTTAATTTATCATTTCTGACAAGAATTGTATTGTTCTTAGTTCTAAGAAAAAAATGGAAGAAAACATGTGATTCATTCACTTCGATAATACAATAAAATATAAGAGATTAAGGAGGGGAACGGACATTGCATTGGATTGCAATGAAAAGTAATCATTTTGGAATGGACAAAAAGTTATTATAAATGTTTAAAAATTGCTTTCTTTCTGAGTTTCATGACTTAACCTAAAATGGTGTATGTAGATAAGTTTGAATTTCGGGCATGTTGGTATTTGATCCAGATTTGCCATATGAGGTTGCATAAATAGGGTAAAGTCTCAATGTCTGAACCAATTTAAAAGGAAATTCATTTCAATCTCAATATGTATACCTAAAAAGTAATTCCATGTTTAATTTTAAAGCTGTCTAATTTTGTGAAACTCACAATATCATAAAGGTTTTTTTCTGCTGCAATAAAACATTTAGATATTCCATGTAGATGGATTGACCTTATATTCCAGTTTTGAAAGTTGGCAGGTGTTGATGTAGGACAAATCATACTATGAAGATTTTGGATGATCTTAAGCAGATAAGCTGAAATTAAATCAGGATGACTATGAGGCTAAAATAGCTTCTGAGCTTTTCAAAGGAATGTTAACATTTTTGTTAGGATTTCACACATACATAAATTGTGCCTACACAATACACAGTAAACTTGTTTCGGGTAGGCAAAGTCATAATATATTTATGACTTTGGAATCAATGTTTTGTAACTAACCTAGATTTAGAGATAATCAATGAGGTGACCATGTTTGCTAAGAGTTCAGAATTAATTGAAAAATAAATTAGAAACTTTCAAACTGAGAAATGGGACCATCGACATGCAGCTGTAGTCCAGTATAAGTAAATGTAAAGCACATGGCAGAAAGTGTTTGTGTGGAACTAAGTGCACTGATGATGGAGTTTATGCTTATGATGTGGCAATGATAGAAAGCTCTCAAAAGTGATTACATTCATCCATCATATTTATATTGTGCTTAAGAATGACTTACTGAACAGCTATAATTAGCAAGCTGCGCATATTAACCCATAGTTTATAAATTGCTAATTTGGTCTACTATTTGTTAAATGTTTACATCCTTGACTCCCAACAACTGGTCAATTTCTAAATAAAAACAAGAGAATAGAATAATAAAGAAGTGTTTAAGCAAAATATGACTCAGTACTATGTATGAACCAGATCATAACGTGGTTGTGTACTGTGAAAATTGCAATTATATTGGGGGGGGGGAGTTAGGAAAGGAACTGAAAAAAATCCAGGACCCAGTATCAAAGTACCTTTGCAGATATTTGTGATGCAATTAAACATAGAGTATGATATGCTTTTATCTTCATCATTGAAAGCACTAATTGCTGGAGAACAGGAGGTGCTGTTGTGCTTATAAAGGCATCTGATTTCAATCATTAGGAACAATTCTAGAACAGATGTCCTTTGGCTTGACGCAACTCAGCTTCTCTTAAGTTCTTACATTTTAGCACAAAAGAATATAAACATGATGGCCTGGATTGTCAAATTTCATATTTCAAGTATAAACTTTGTGCCTGTTGTTTCACATTTCTACTAAGGAACAGCAGCTTCTAATGCCAAACTGTCAATATACAGTACATCTTTACAAGTGAAAGATATGTACACTGCTTCACAGGATCAGAAATCCAAATAAGTTGTGGACTGATAACGGAATAGAGATTTACATCTCATCATCTCTGAATAAAGTATGGAATTTCCAAGAAATGGGAAGTCAATTTGAAGCAGAAGAATAGAGGTTTTACTATTTGAATAAAAGCAAGAAAAAAGTCGTAAGTCAAAGAAAAAAGTCAAGCCAGAAAATTTTGTTATATTCTTATTTCTCTTTATTGCACAAGTGCCATATTGTTTTTTCTGTACAAATTAGGAATTTGTGTAACTTCAGTCTTTTAACTATCCATCTGGCTGAGTTTGAATATGCCAAGTTTTCTCGAGAGTTTTCATATTATTTAGCGCAAAATATTGAGCCATTTGTAACAAATCAGCATCATTTTATAGTCTACCTGGCATGCTGCATTTTATTTTGTAAATTTCTTTTAAATAACCACTTTACTATGATCTGGACAGCTCAGGAATGTATTCTATTCATCTTTGAGTGAAAAAATATACAGACATTTTAATGTCTTAAAACATAAAACCTATTATTAAATTTGTATTTTTTGCTTTTTAAATGAAGTTTGGGTTTATTTATTTGTGGTAAGATTGGTTTAAACCCTAACGGGAGAGGGGGAGGAAGAGTTAAATCATCAAATCACGTACCTCTGTACTACATGGCCAGGAGCTTTATTACAGAAATTAGTTTATTGTATTTTTATCTTATAATCAACAGAAAGAGCGCTCTCACACACATACTAGAGGAGTGGTTCTCAACCTTCCTAATGCCGCGACCCTTTAATTACAGTTCCTCATGTTGTGGTGACCCCCAACCATAAAATTATTTTCGTTGCTACGTCATAACTGTAATTTTGCTACTGTTATGAATCGTAATGTAAATATCTGATATGCAGGATGTATTTTCATTGTTACAAATTAAACATAATTAAAGCATTATATGTAATTATGTGTTTTCCGATGGTCTTAGGCGACCCCTGTGAAAGGGTCGTTCGACCCCCAAAGGGGTCACGACCCACAAGTTGAGAACCGCTGCACTAGAGCAAGGATCTTCAAACTTGGCCCTTTTATGACTTGTGGACTTCAACTCCCAGAATTCCTCAGCCAGGCACGCTGGCTGAGGAATTCTAGGAGTTGAAGTCCACAAGTCATAAAAGGGCCAAGTTTGAAGACCCCTGCACTAGAGAAATGGGGTGGACCCCTGGTTAAGAACACCTGAAAGACAGGTGGGTGCAGTGGGTACTACCAAGTCTTAACCCCAAGGTTAAAAATAAGCCAGGATACAAAGTCCCAGAAGGCTACTGTGAGATCAGATTTGATACTTTCAGCTTTCCATATG